AAGTAAAGCCATATGTACGCTAATATGCTACTGATTTCCTCCGAATTTAAATAGGGTTGGTTATGCTGTTTGGCGATTCTGTCTATCATTTTGTTTCATTTTGGAACACAAACAGCGTTCCGTTACTGGAACGTTGATGTCTCCTCAAGTAAACAATCTCTCGCTACTCACTATCGATCGCCGGCACGTGTTGTATCGCATCATTCTTGAAAAATGGTTATCATCATGTCACGTCGCGTGTGTGTGTGCGTTCCTGCACTAAATTTCACTTTAGTATTAGGTGCATAGTTATGCATCTGTATCGCCGTTGAAATGCGATGCGCACGGGCCTGTCAGACTGTTCTCCATCAACCCAGACATCGCACACTCAACATCGGCTGCCAGGTTTTACCGGAAGCAGTTGACAGTATCGAACCGATTTTCCGGGTCTTATATGAACCCATCTTCTACTACATATCTCAGTCCGTAGATTTTTTATGAGTTATCGTTTGCCCTCTGTATGTTCAGTTTTGTGACAGTGATGTTGTGCGGAATGTTCACTATTTGTCAGATAAACTTGGTGCTGCTCGAATAACCCTTCAACGTCTTTGTAGGTCGCCGATTCCTCGATTAGACTGTCTTCTCCGCAGTTGATCACAGCCCCCGTGTTGTTAGGGAAGCGTAATTATCCAATAAAAACTCTATATACTCAATTAGGTAAATCTCAGATTGTCGGTCATTTACAAATTCTTGTGTCCGTAGTCGTAATTCGCGTTGTTACTGAGGGCGTCTTGCTGAAGCGAACGACAGCGCTTCTTTCGATTTCAGCTCTGTCACTATGACGCTCAGTTGTTGATTTTTTTACCTCTTATCCCCCGTCATTCATTGCGACTTGTGAATATTACGTGAACTAGTTCAGACTGTTAATATGATTGTACTACGTTGCTTTATGAGGAATTTTGAGTTCGAACCACCAGATCACGCTTCAAATCAGGAATTGTTGCCGTGATTGGTCGTCGGTTGAGCCGCTTTTGTGGGCGTTTTTTTTCAGATTGTTCTCTCCGAGACTTTTCGGTCTAGCTAGATGACTCAGTGTTTAGAGCGCGAATTTACCGACCGGAAGGCCCGTGGTTCGAACCCGACCTCTGCCTCTCGACTCCCCCTGTCTGGGCTTGGGGAACCTGACAGTATCCCAGCCCTCGGGTGGCATGGCAGCTAGGCACCGAAAAAGTGTCACAGCTGTATGATTTTTATTCGATTTTTTCGTTTCAGCTCAACATTTTTAGGCCAATAGGTTGGAGATTGGGAGACTTGTTTATCAGGCTGTAGACTAATCCATGCTGGCATCAGGTGCGAAATCGCTTCCTAAAGCACAGGTAACCAACATTCGCCTGTCGCCACATGCGCAGGATGTTACGGAGAGACCGATTCTGCTCAGTACCAGAATTTTATCTGCTTTCACGCTGACAGTTTATTGGCTGGCTCGGAAGTTCATGCTTGATACGGTGATCTACAAGTACTTTTGTTCTCATATCCGAAGCTGCATTTTTGGCACAACGGTGTGGGAATTTATAGATTTTCATGTCTACGATGCCACATTCAAGTCTGCGGTCAGCGTTGTGATGAGCCGACTGAAATATTCACCGACACAGTGCAACACTGGGGAGGATTACTTTTTGTCCTTTATCCAATTTCGCATGCTAACCCTCATCAAGCACAAATATTGGAGGGTGGCTAGGTTTTCGAAACAGGTTATCAAGTTTCCTGTTTGACAGAGTGTTCGTTAAACCTATTCTGGGAAAGTCGAGCCCCAAAACGTCATTCCTGCCTGGTTGCCTAAAACAGTTCGACCTTGGATAAAATCTCGCACTGCGTATACCCACAAAACCTCGCACTCTGGAACATTCTCTCGCTGAGTGTCCCCTTTTGAGGGATTTTGCTTTTTTAGTCTGGTACTGGACTAATCAGCCCCCGAATGCTGTCACAGGTTTGATCGGGTGTACAACAACATCACTCTTCATTGATGAGCTCTTGAATCTACCTTGCAGTCTGAATTGTCTGTGCCAACCCAGTTCTGGGGGTTGAAGTTACGAACAAAGGAATTCTCGGTAATTGATTAGTAGTTTATTTTCAGACGAGGATGTGAATAACCCACCTCCAGAAGATGAATTTGACGTGGGTAGAGCACGAACTGGCTGCCTGGAAGGTCCGTGGTTCGAACCCAGTCACGGCAACTCGGCTACTCCTATCTCGGTTTGGGCAACCTGGCAATATTTGAACCCTCGTGCTTCCTGGGGTTGTGGCAGCCCTGCATCGAAAGAGTGCTACAGCTTGACTATTACGATTTAATAAAAGATGACATTGTCACGGGTGTTTTGGCGGAATCCGAGGCAGTTTTCTAGTTGCCACCGCACTGAATACACCCAAGCTGTTGGTCGTTTCTCTTACTTTTATCACTTAGTCTTGACAACTTGTGGATTTATTTACCCAGCTATGAGTAGCGCAGCTATTTCCATTTGTATTTATCTTAGAAATAGGGTGTATGTCGTAACTGTATCCATTATTTTGACGGGGCTATAGCCATGCTAGGGGTCCTTGAACTCCTCGCTGTTTGCCAGATCCAACCGAGCGGAGCAGCCCTGTTATCGCATATTGTACAATTCCAACGCCGGCTCGGCCTGTCGCTGCCAGACGATCATTTCTAGGCATTCGTAATCTAGGGTAGGTGGGATGGCGAGCATGACCAAGATTTTGCAATGTTGAGGCCGGGCTTTGATAAACATCAACCAGTGTTCCGTAATCGTGGGATTGGTGCCAGCGTTACCTGTTGACGTCTCACCATCAGAGGTTTACTCAGGCAAAGTGCAAAAAAAACTAAATGTTCTCAGTTGAATTTCCACACGCTTGGACCGATGACGGTGACTGGCTGTGATGAGTGGTAATGCCGCCCTACATAGTACTTACTCGGCTAAGGGAGTTGGAAATTAGAAGTAAGCCGGAGGGCCACAGTTTCACGAGTTTTCGCGCGTAATGGCGTATGCAAGCATTTGCTACCGATGCAGGAAAGCGCATTGTGTGGTAGTGTCCATGTCCCATCATTTTACTGCACTATTCTTTTCATAATGTGAATGATTCATGATTATTGTGTAGGAAATATGCTTTCAGGATACCAAAATTGAGCAAGAGAGTTATCTTGAAGACTTCCTCTAGAGTGTTTCTCCAAGTCGGAGCTAAGCTGTAGGACGTGCAGAGCGAAGTCTGTTGTCCGAGATTCATCGGGTGTACAAGACGGTCTTTGATCCTTGTACCTTTCGCATGATCGGCAGCCATGCACGACATATTCACTACCACTGAGCTCGGTTTGG